GGGCGATGACCCCAGGGTAGGCGAGGGGTTTAGGACTCAGTCCAAGAGAGACTTCACAAAATCTGCTCTTTAGATCCCACCAGAGTCTCCTGAGCCCTGAGGGATGTCTCCTGGACCCTTCTACTCTGCCTCACTCCCCAGTTTACCCCAGCCCCCCTTCACCACAGGCTGCCAGTGTCCCTTCTTCTGCGGGCCTGGTTTTCTGACCTCCATCCCCTCCCCACCCCACCTTTTTCCCCTTCCACCACCACCCTACTCTCAAAGGCCTGGCTTCCAGACCAGAGAAGGGGGGATTTCCCACTCTTTAGTCTTCCACTTTGCCTTGGGGATCACGGTTATCTCCTCGCCCCACCCCTCAGGGCTAAAGGGGGAATGGTGGCCCTCTTCTCCCACAGAGATTTCCAGGGGTCCCTAGACTCCATCAGACATGAAGAGGGGTGAAGTGGGATTGGTGACAGTGTCAGGGTAGAGAAGGGTGAGCGAGCGAGAGCAATGCTAGGCTCAGCTGAGAGACCAGCATCCTGCTGGGCCCATTTCCACAACCGGCAGAACGTCAGACTCTTCCCCTGGAGCCACTCTCCTCAGTAAATTACAGAGACCCCCACCTTCTCTTAGAAGTCCTCAGGCAGGGGGGGACCCCAAAGCCCAGGGCAAAGCCAGCAACAGTAGCAGCCCTCTCCCGTTTCCTGGGGAGGAGGGCATCTTGGCCACCCGCCCCTCTCCCTTCCTCCCTCTATGTCTATCTGCAACCGCAGAATTACTGGGCTCGGCATCAGCCTCCCTGAGACCAAGCCTTGTGCCTGCAAGGGTCTCCTATCCCTCTCTCCTGGGGAGAGGAGCTGTGGGGGGAATGATACACCTCCATCCTGAGACTCTCAGGGGACAGCCTGCAGCCAGTGGGGGTGGCATGGGTTTGGCTGAAATGGAGGGAGGAGCCCTGTCCTTCAGGAGCTGGACAGGGGTGGGCTTTCCTCCTTGTCCCCACCCCTAGCCCTGGAGCAACACCCCCCCTCCCAAACTCCCATACCCGCTGGCAGCCCTTCTACTTCCTCAAGCCTGTGTCTCAGTTAAAGGACTTTTGGGGGTGGGCAGAGGGAAAGGCGAGTCCAGAGCAGAAATGTCTCCTCTGGTTGGTGGAAGAAAGTGGTGCTGGATTATCAGGTGCCAGCCTCTCACATGGGAGGGGTGCTGGGAAGTAGATCAGGGCACGATAAGACCCCAAGAGGTGGGGTTATGACTGGAGGAGAAGCCTCTTAGGGACCTCTCAGGTGAGGCCCTGAGTCCTCCCACAGCACTGGAGGCCACTTGCTCACAGCTGATGCCACTTGGAAGCCTGGCAACTGCAGGCCCCTCCTTCTCCCCACATCACTGGGCCTCCAGCTCAAGACAGCTTGATAGCCCTGCCCCTCCATCACCCCCCCAGAACACCTTTACTCCCTGCTTCTTCTCCCAACAGCCCATGATAAATGATCTTAGACACCAACCCCAAGGTCCTGACCCTGTTCATGTGGGCACAGAAGATCCTGGAAGATTCTGGTGCAGGCCTGAGCTGGGCCAGGGGAGTTGGGAGGGTGGGAATAATGGCATCCCACAGATAGGCAGAATCTCCCTATCACTCCCCTTCTCGTCACTATCTACTCTCTGGGCCTCTGCTGCAGCCAGAGATATGTCCTAGGCCCCTCAGAGTCTGAAGCAAGATTTCCCAAGCCCTCAACCCTTCCAACTCCAACAAAAGCTTCTTCAGCCTCTCCCCCAGGTGGGAGTTGGGGTTGGGGGCCTCTGCCCCTCACCACGTGCCCTTGGAAGGTAGGAAGCCCACACAGCTGCACCTTGGGGCCTGGGCTCCCCCTCTCTGTGCCAGCGGCTTCTCAGCACCTGGGGAGGAGCTGTGGCCCGGCTGGACCCCAGGCCTGTCCCCCTCTGAATTCCAGCTGCCCACTGTGGGGCAGAGACTCGAAACTCCATTCCTTCTGAGCAGCCACCTCTGTGGCCCCTTTGGGACCACTCTTGGTCTCCAGGCGCCTCAGGACCTCGGGGCGGTAGGGCCTCCCACCTAGAAATCCCCTGGAGCCAGCCCCCCACCCCGTCAGTGCTGGTGTCAGGCACGCAACACAAGAGTGTGGGAGCCGCACCCCTCACCGTGCCCACCGCCGTGCCCACCGCTGCCTGTAGCCCCCGCCCGCACCCTCGATGCTGCACGGGCCGCCCTGCGGGCTCGGCGAGTAAAGTGTGTTGTCCCCAGTTAACCACCGTCGTCTGGCAGCCCGGTTCTGCGGGGAGCCCGGGCTGCCCCCACCCGCCATCCGCCGCCCTCGGCTTCCTGACTCCATTAGTCCGACACTTGTGAAACTCCGAGAAGTGCTGTGGTCTCAGCAATGCACCTGTTTTGTACATGATTGTGTAATTTAAAGGTATATAAATACAAAAATATATATATATATAAGTTGTGATTGTATGACTGTGGATAAAATCGAGAACTGTGTCAACCTGGCTGCATGTTGTCATCTTGAGTCTCGCGTTGTCTTTCGAACCCTCCGAGAGCCATCTGGGGTTGGGCTGACTGCCGGGGAGGTGGGCCAGTACCTGCACGCGTATCTGTACATGGAAGGTTACACTGGACACCCAGGCTCCTGAGGCCTTTAGGGTTCCGGGTACCTGGTGATCAGCACTGACGCAGAGAGCTGGGGCTTCCAGGATCCCAAACTCACAGTTCAAGGGTAAAATTTGACCCTCAAACTGAAACCCTCAAAGGTTTCAGTTTTAATTTTTTTTTAAAGATTTATTTTTGTACAAGAACTGGGGTACAGGCCAGGGGTGCGGGAGGGTGAGAGGATTCACCAGAGAGAGAGTGGGGAGCAGAACAGGTAGACTAACGAAATACACTGCTGAGGGGAGCAGCAGGTGAGACAGGAGAGGTCTGCTGCACCATGTGGGTAGCTCCCTGGCTGGCCGGGAATCAAACCCATGCTGCAGAGGCTGTGGACAGCTTCACAGCACTGCTCTCAACCCGCTGCGCCACCGGGGAGGCCCCTAGGTTTCAGTTTTTAAAGCAAGATTCTAAAAGTGACTGCTGAGGCCTGTGGACCTTGGTTGTCCACAGTCCCAGGCTCCCTATGGTTGACAGCAGGCCAGACCTGTGTCCTGCCTGACCTCTGACAGCATTTCTGTTGGGACCCCTGTGAGAGTTCCTCCAGGAGGTGTTCTCAGGAGCTGGGGCAGAACTGGGGCTCTGGGTTCTCTGTTCTGCCATACCAGGTCCTGCCCCAGGTCTCGTTTGCCCGCCAAGCTCCTGCTCCAGACTTGCCCCCTCCCACTCACTCCCACCCCCAGCTGGTCTCTTCTAGGGCAGGTCAGACACTCCAGGTCCAGTCCTAGTCTTGCCATCAGTTTCACGGTGTCCCCACCCTAGGCCCCAGTCCCCCCAGTCTGGTTAATCGTTTCTCTGAGGATCCTTTGGCCCTGACATAAGCCCTTAATTCAAACATACTAAAGCACACTACAGTCCCTCTTCGCCACCATTTCCAGCCTCGGGGCAAGCTCAGGGCAGGGAGAATAGATTGAGAAGGGGGTTAAATCTATTCTCTACCTCATTTCCCTTAATCCCTACCCACCCACCCCCCATCTCTAAATGAAGCCCCAGGGTTTAGCCAAACACAGACAAAAGTTTGCCTTGTCTAATTTACCAGGCTGCTCCACGCAGTTATGGGGAGCCTTGGAGGTCGGGTCCTGAGAACAGCGTCAGGGAAAGCCTAGCAGAAGGGCTCTGCCCAGCAGGTGCACAGAGGAGGAAGGAGAATCGGAGGGTTGCTGCCAGCACACAGGTGTCACTGGATGGGTGTGCCCGCCAAGGGACGTGTGCCTCGTGGCAGAGCACACACTGGGGAGCTGCCCCACCTGAACCCCAAACCTCCCCCTTCCTGGAGCAGCTCCAGCTCCTACTCCTCATCCCTAATTCCCTTCCCTTTCCTCCCTCCCAGCCTCTGCCTGAGATCCAGGCCTCTTCAGGCCCAGTCCCAGCAGAGACATAAGCAGGTGGCTCTAGGGACTCAGTTGGGGGCAGGGCGGCTGGGTGGAGACAAACCAGTTTAGCAAAGCCCAGTTGGGTTCTGGCCCAGGTCCCAGTCTCCCCCCTCCGGGGGAGTGGGCAGACAGCAGGGGCCCAGGGAGGCACAGGCCTGGGGCAGGCCTCCTCCCCCTCTCCCCGGTCCTGGTCCAGTCCCAGCTGACAGATGCCAAAGTGCTATTTGCTCACTGCCAGGAGTAAACTTTCTTCTGGAGACAATAAAGTTGCTGGGGGCAGAAGACAGACTACAGGGCAGCGATTAACCCTTGGTGGCCTGGGTGGCACTGGCTCCCTATCTTGTCTCCTGGAAGCCTGTCCTCAGAGGTCAGCACCTCAGGGTGCTGACCAGTTGTGGAGGGAGCAAGAGACATGTCCTGGTGGGCTCAGTCCCCCTGGTTGGCTGTGTGACTGTGAGCAAGTTGCTTAACTGCTCTGGCCTCAGTTTAATCATCAGCAAAATGAGGGAGTGACTTCCCTGGAACTTGCATTGGGAAGGCACATGGCAAAAAGGAGTGGAAGCATCTAGTAATAGTCAGTCCTCAGGACTCATGAGTTGAGTGAATAGATGTGAGGGAAGCATGAGGAAGCTGGGGCCCTACTTCTCTGGAAATACACGCACTATGGCCCCTACGCTTTCCCCTTCATGGGCTCGCACCCCTCACACCCCACTCACAGGGGGTGTGAGGGCTCACAGCTTCGCAGAGGGCACTGTTGAGGTCTACGAACTTGCTCTTCAGGAGAGAAAAACCAAGAGAGCCAACCTCTCTTCCACCATATTTGTTGCAGAGTCAGCATCCCATAAAGGGGGCTGAAGCCCCCTCCTTCCACTGAACCCCCGCTGCTGCCCAGTCCCAGAAGCCCCTGGATTGTCCAAGCAGAGACAAAGGTCCTAAGGAGTCTGCACAGGAGGTTCAGCTCCTGACCCACCCCAAGAAGAAAGCCCCATCTACAGCAGAACAAGAGGAGGACACATCCCTTTTCTCCAGTCTTATGTGTAGATCCTCTTCAGCCACAGCTCACCTCCCCCTCCTTTCAGCCCACACCTGGGTGTCAGGAGATGGGGTGACTGTTCTAGTCTCTTCTTGGCCTTGAGTACTCATTCTCTCTCTCCTATAAGCTTCTACCAATCAATGAGCTCTTTCCCTTTAGGTGTAGCTCAATGCCACCTCCCCCAGGAAGCCTCCCTTGACCACCCCAGGCCCCTGTGACCACAACCATTTTGAGCATTGATGGTCCCTGACCTGTGCCACTCGCTCACTGCACAGACTGGGGCCGTATCAGGTCTCTAAGATCTTTATTACCCATTCCTTGGGGTACCCTTGTCTCCAACTCATGGTGCAACACCATGCCAGGTATGGTACAGAATGGGTGGCATCAAGCACTGGACCAAGAAGCCTTGGGCCAAGTCACTGCCATTCTGTCGGCTCTGCTCTTGGAAATCTGGGGTCAGAAGCTGGGTGAAGGGAAGGCCTTCTCTGGGGAGCAGTGAACACTGAGGACAGCCCTGGCTTCCTCCAGCCTCCAGGACCTGGCACATGAGCAGTCAAGCCTGAGGAGGAAGCACTCCCTGGGCCCCAGCGAGTTCATTTGTATCCCTGGGAGTGGGGGCGGCCCTCTCCCTGACCTTGGATGCCTATTCCAGAGGATTGGCCTGTCCGCCAGCCCAGGGCCTGGTGGAGGCAAGAGCAGGCAAGTGGGAGGTCTGGCGAGGGTGAGTTCCAGGCCTGGGACCCACGGCCGCAGCTCAGATGGGATGCACGAACTGGTAGACGAGGCGCTGGGAGATGTCTGGCTTCCGGATGATGCCCTTCTTGTAATACTGGCGAATGGAGCGGCTCAGCTTGTCGTAGTTCATGGCTGGACGGTTCTTGCGGATGCCCCACAGTCGGGCCACCTGGGCGGAGTCCTCAATTTTGAAGATGCCTGGGGGGAGCAGGAGGGCCCAGAGAGAGCCAGGGATCCCATGGGGGTGGCAGGAGGGAGAGAGATGTAGATCAAAGGTCAGTCCCTCGGAAAGCCAAGGCAGGAAACCAGTGCCGGCTCCGGTGAGGCTGTAGGGGCATAATGCCCACCCCATGTTGTGGTTAAAGAAACGTGTGCAAAGCATGTGCCACAGGGCCCAGCGAGTGGAAGTTAGTGCAAGTAGGGTGACTGGTGTGCGTCAGTGGGTTATTTGGCATCTTGAGGTCCTAGCCATGCCAGCCTCTGGGATTTGTGCATCCTACACAGAAATGCTGTGGGACCCTGGGCTGTGCCCATGGCTCATTTGGCAAGATCACCTCCTGCCCCTCCTCCTCACTACCTTCGTCCTTGCATCCCCAAGCCTGAAATGCTTCTTTGCTGTTCTGTCACCTCAGGCCACATAGCCCTTTCTGGCAGGATTAATGAATAGGAGGTGGTGGAAAGAGGATTTGGAGCCAGGTCAGTCCGGGTATGAATCCTAGCTTTGCCATTTCCTACCACAGAATCTGTCTGTATAGTCTCCATTGCCCCCATCTGTAAGAGACCACCGAAAAAGCGCTCAGAGCAGAGCCAGAAGGAAGTGCCCCTTGGAATGAGTTATTACACTGTTAGTATCTCTAGTTCTCATTCTAACCCCCCTGGCAGGGCACAGGATAGCATACCCCTCCAGGAAGCCTTCCCAGACCATCCTACCCTTGCTGACCTCCCTTCCCTAGGACTCTATTATTGGACCATCTGCCCAGAGGACTGGCTCACTCTCTGTCTCAAATAAATACACAGGGTCATCATACCTTGCACAATAATTTTCCTCTACAATCCCCAACCCCTTCTGGTGCTCTACACTCAAACCCAGAGTCACCTCCACTGTGAAGTCCTCCTGGCTTATAGGCACAGTTGCCTGCATGGCCCCACTATGCTTTGCACCTGTTTCTCTATTTCACTGTTTCTCCTATAAGACTACAGGCCCCCTGAGGACAGGGTGCAGCTGAATCCTTTTTCACACCTTCAGGACACTAATTCTTTGTAAATGTTGGCTGAGAAACCAGGAGGTATCAGTAAAGGTTTGGTAGATGAGTGGACCTAGTCCATTTTACAGATAAGAAGACTGAGGTCCAGGCACCCGCAGGTACTAATGACCTGAGGGGGCCTAGAGTCTAGGTCTTGGCTCTGGGCCTTTTTCAAAATACACACACACCCATGTCCAATGAAGCTGCAACTAGCCACGTGTGACATTGAGCTTTTGAAATGTGGCAAGTCTCAACTGAGATGTGAAATCCATACCAAATTTTGAAGAGTTAATATTAAGTATTTTATTAATAATGTCTATATCAATATTTTAATATTCAATTTTATGTAATTTTTAATGTTCTACAGGCAATTTAGATAATATTTTATTAGTGATTTTCTATGATAATAAATTAGAACATCGGGTTATATAAAAGTATTATTAAAATTAAATTCACCTGTTTAGAAAATGTTTTTAAAGTGGCTACTTGAAAATCTAAGATGACAGTCACATGGGACTTAATGCCAGTGAAGTTCTGAGAAATGTATCGCCAGGCGATTTTCTCCTTGTCAACATTACAGCGTGAACGTGATCATGCAGACCTGGCGGACGAGCCCAGCACACACCTAGGCTACATGGCATGGCCAACCAGGCCCCCATGTTCACTGTCTGTCCCCCACCGGACATGAAATGGACATGAATGGACATGAAATGGTGGCTTTAATGGACATGAAATGGTGGCTCACGTGGACACTGTATTTTTCCTTGGACACCACCCATGCCCCCTGTGAAGTTATACTGTTTTGGGAACAGACACTGTGTCCCGTTCTTGGCAGTTTGAAGTCCCCACCGTATCTCAGGATTGCGCAGCGTTGGGGATCTGAAGCCGGACAGGGCCTGGCCAGGGGACAGACCTGGACACTTGTCGCACCCGGCCCAGGGGCTGGTCCGACGACAGTGGCACATCTGGCATTCAGACATGAATCCAAGGTGGAGGGGTATCTCCACCACCCTGCCCAGCCCCCGCCCCTCCCTGTGCCAGGCAGGTAACCTCAGGCCCGTGTTCTCGCTACCCCGGCCCCATGTGCCCCCACAGGGCGCCCTGCTCACCCTTCTCCTTGTTGAGCCACCGGATGAAGCGGCCGTAGCTGTGGGGCTTGAGCAGCAGCTCCTTGAGGAACTGCCACAGGTGGATGGGCTGCCCGGAGCAGGATGAGTCCACCTCGCTGTCGGTCCAGCTCTCCTCGTTGGTGGAGGCTGGGCAGCCAGGGAGGGTGGCAGTGAGTGGGGAGCCCCTGCCTTCGGGCAGCCACCCCCCACCCAGCCCAGGCCCCTCCCTGCCCTGCTCCTACTCACCGCAATAGTGAATCTCCCCAGGGGAAGTCCTCTCTTTCATCCAGGCCGCTGTGGGGCAAGGAGAAGAAGTTTGGGGACCCAGGAGACACGCAGGGCAGAGGAGGGAGTTTGGGTGGGACTTTGGGGATGGAGAAGCCCCTCTGTGGCTGGGTGTTTCCCTGGTGGTTCCCTCCTTCCCTCCAGTCAGAGAAGACAATTTTGTTTTTAAAAAGCCTTTTCCTGGGAGGAATTTGAGGATTCAGAACTGGGAGGGCCTCAGAGATCCTACACACAGCTCCATGTTGCTCAGGTGAGGAGACCGGAAGTCGAGCCATGCCCTGCCTCTCTCTCCTCCCCTATGGAATGAGCCAGGACATCCCCTCACAGAGTGTGCAAGGTTCCAGGGCGAGGAAGTCTGCATAGCGCCTTGCTCGGTGCCCATCATAATAAAAGGCTCTCTGCCCTCCAGTTGCCAAGTTCGCAAGCCCTTCCACCCCTCCTGCCCTCCAGCTGGCCCCTCTCTGTCTTTCCCTCCTGCGGACCCAGGGAGGATGGGAGATGGCAGAGGCAGCCAGCTTCTGCCCACATCACCATGCGGTTCTCAGACTGGCACTGACCCCTGCCCTTGCCAGCCACTGGGTTGGGGCAGGACATTGGTCATGGACTGGGCCATACCGTGTGTCCTGTGCCCTTATTCACCCCATGGGTCCTGTGCCCTTACTGAGCAAGCATGGGGTCCTCCAAAGCACACGGCTCTGTGCAGGGCACAGTGGATGCCCAATGAGATTGAGACCATTTAAACATTAAGGGGTGGCATCCACATAGACACTGATGGGGAACAAGGCCCCAGATACACTGTTAGTGCAGAATAGTGGGGTACTCATACTATTTATGTCCAAAGAAGGTAAAACGACAAATACATTTGCTTGTATATGCACAGGCAAGGTACCCTAGCAAGGGTACCCCTAGGGCACCCCCAGCAAGTCACCCTAGAAACTGGTGACAGCCTCTGGGGAAGGGGGTTGGGGGGGTTGGGGGTGGGATGGAGACTAACTTCCCATGGTGTTGTATTTTGCACTATGCTCTTTTCATCAATTGTGCACACTTATTAGCTCCTTACTTCTTTAATGAAAAACAACACTAAACAAAGAGGATTTTAAATGGATTTCATCGTCCCATCAGCTCTGACATCCCCAGGCGTCACAGTTTAAGTTCCACCTTCTAACTTCCCATATGCTCTGTCCGAAGTTCTGTGAGCAGAGCTTGGCCGGGGTGGGGAGTGGGGCAGGGCTGCTGAGTTCGCCCAGGACCCAAGCAGGCAGCTGCAGTTGGGGCTGGGATTCAGAACAGAGCCCAGACAGAGAGCCTGGGGCCTTCCCAGAAGACAGGAAGCTCCCGGCTGGCATCCTACCTAAACCACCCTCCTCAGCGTCCCTGGCCTGGAGTCCAAGAGGGGCCGGTCCCACCCCCGCCAGGTCCCACCTGATTTCCAGATGTCCAGGTGGGCGTGCAGCACGTCCCCGCCCAGGGGAGAGCGCTGGCGGAACTGCTCCTCCGACATGGCACACAGCTCCTTGCCCCCCAGCTCCTGGAAGGCCTTGCCCACCGGGGGCAGCCGGTACTGGTGCTCTGTCCACAGAAGCCACTTCTGCACGTTGCCAGGGCTCCAGTCCACGGGGTCTGTGCAAAAGACACTCATCAGCTCCAGGCTGCTCCGGGGCACTGCCCTGAACGTGACCCGCTCTGATGGGTTGCTCTTGAGCTTGTGGCCTGGGACCACGGACTCTGGGGGTGGGGCCAGACAGGGCCTGGAGGGACTCTGCAGAGGGGGTCACCCAAGGAGAAGGGGAATGGGGGTGAGAGAGAAGTCTGAGCCCCCAAAACACACTTCAGTCAGGGAAGAGTAGTCTAGGGCCTCTGTATCCCCTACCTCATTCCAGCTTTTAGTCGTTTCCCAGATCCTAACAACCCCTCCAAAGGATCCTTCGGGAAGGCCCCGCTTTGGAGGTGACAGTGACATTAAACTAGAAACAACTGAGTTTCTCTCCCAGATGGCATCTTGCTTACCCTCCCTCCTCTAAGCCCTCACGGAACTAAAGAAAAACCCAACCAGGAATCAGTTGTACTACCCCACCCTGACCACACTTGACAGATGAGGAAACTGAGGTGTGGATTTCCATCCCCCGTCCAAAGGGCTGGGCTTGGGCTGGGCGCCCTGAGCTAGCTGCTCATTTCCCCAGGGGCTTAAAGGAGTGAATGGTAGGGCCCAGGGTGGCATCAGAGGCCAGAAAGGGAGTTCCTGGCCAGGTCACAGGTGTGCCCGGGGCTGTGCACTGGCGGGGCACACAGGTGGGGGTCAGGTTGTTGGACACGGTCACAATGGGGCCTGCAAGTGAACACTGTGGTCTAAGCTGGTGCCCCAACTGGGTGACCTGCAGGCTGGGCTGCCCTCACTTCAGAAACCCATTTTCCTCCCCAGGGTCAAAGCAATTTGTTTCTGTCCCCATTGTTCAGAGGGCAGGCCCGTCCCAGCCTGCTGTGGGAGTGGTGGCACTGTGGGAGACGCTCCCGGGGGTGGGAGGACTGGTGTGCACACTGGAAGGGACTAGGCATGGGCCTGGAGCTGACTCAAGGGGGACACAAGCGGGGACTATCAGGCGGCAGGAACCCAGCCCAGATCACTTGAGGGGGAGTGGGCCTGAGGGCTGCATGAAGACTCTCCCCTGGGTGCAAGCAGCACAGAGAGCAGCATGTTCAAATGCCAAGGTCCAAAGACCAAGGACCTCGGTCAGGCTTGCTCAAAGCTGGAGAAATGATGAGTGACAGGGCGGGAGAGCCAGCAGCCCCTGGGCCCACCACATCAGCTCCATAGCTTCATTTTCCCTGCCCTGGCAGACACATGTGTGCCCAGCCCCCTGAGCACCCCTCTTTATCAGAGCCCTTGTCACCACGGGACCAGTGACACACTTATCTCTGTATTCATGACCTGCTTCCCTCCTGTAATTCCAGCTTCATGAATGAAGGGGCTATCGGGCTGTCTTCTCTACTCAATTCCCCAGTGCTCGTACAGGGCCAGCCATATTAAGAAGTTCTGGTTTTGGGGCCTCCCTGGTGGCACAAGGGGTTGAGACACAACCTATGAAGCTGTCCGCAGCCTCTGCAGCACAAGTTCAATCCCTGGCCAGGAGCTACCCACGTGGCGCAGCAGACCTCTCCTGTCTCACCCGCTGCTCCCCTCAGCAGTGTATTTCAGTCTATCTGCCTGTTCTGCTTCCCACTCTGTCTCTGGTGAGTCCTCTCACCCCCCACACCTCTGGCCTGTACCCCAGTTCTTGTATGCATAAATAAATCTTTAAAAAAAAGTTCTGGTTTTTGGAGCATCTATTATGTGCAAGTTGCTATCCTAGAAACTGGGGTGTAGCAGTGAGCAAAACAAATGAAAATCCTCTTCCTCGGGGTGTGTACATTCCAGTAGGAGAGACAGACAGTGAACAAGATAAAATATTCAGGGCCTCCCTGGTGGCGCAAGGGGTTAAGCACCGCACTGTGAAGCAATCCGCAGCCTCTGTAGCACGAGTTGGATCCCCGACCAGCCAGGGAGCAACCCACATGGCACAGCAGACCTCTCCTGTTTCGCCCGCTGCTCCCTGCAGCAGCGTATTTCAATCACTCTGCCTGTTCTGTTCCCCACTCTGTCTCTGGTGAATCCTTTCACCCCTGCCCCGCATCTCTGGCCTGTACCCCAGCTCTTGTATGCATAAATAAATATATCTTTAAAAAAAGAGAGATAAAACATGCAGCTCACCTGACAGCACAAAGTGCCACAAGAGAAAGAAAACAGATCGGACAAAGAAGTGGGACTATGGGCGGTCAATTCACTTCCCCTGGTCAGTGATCAGGAAGCCTCATGGAGGGGGTGATCTGAGTCGGGACTCACAGGAGGTGAGGGGTAAAGGCATATTTGGGGGAGCAGTGTACTAGGTGGAACAACCAGCAGGTGTGAAGGTGTGAATGTTGAGGGAGCAGCCAAGAGGCAGGTGTGGCGGGAGCACAGTGAAGCAGGAGAGCGTGGACATGAGTCCGAGGGTGAACCAGATGTAGAGCTCAAGTTTGTTCCATCCTGCACCTTCCCAGTGGGGCATTGGGCTGGGCGTCTGGGCACAGAGAAAGCTGGCACCTCCCAGGCCAGGCTCACAGCTGCTGTATGTTTGGGGTTAAGCAGATGTGCAGAAGTTTCAGCATCCCTGGGGCTACCTGGGGTGGGGCCAGGGGTGGCCAGAGTACAGCAGGCAGTGCCCCTCTGGCCCCCAGTGCTGCCTGTGCCCTCCGGGGAGGATGTGGGGACTGACCTGCAGTGATGTTGAGCAGCTTGCAGGCCGTCTCGATGTCCTTGAGCACCTCGCCCACCACCATGGACTGCACCTGCTCCAGCGAGTGCTCCTCCAGGCTCAGCCCTGCCGGCGCCAAGTCCAGGCTGCCCCCTGGGGCTTGGCTGTCGATGACTGGGCACTGCTCAGGCTCGTCAGGCGGCTCCTCCCGAGTGCTGGCCCCAGGGCCCTTGGCGGCCCAGCCGTTGTCCTCGGGATACAGCATGTCAAAGTAGGAGAGGTAGAAGGCAGAGAGGCCCTGCTCGGGTGTGGCGGGTGGGCTGGGGCTCCAGTCCTGTCTCTCGGGCCCCACCGAGCCCCCTGCCACCTTTTCCAGGCCTGTCCGCAACACAGCGTCGGGGGGCAGCAGGAGGCGGCTGGGGGGCACGCTGCTCAGGCCCGGGCTGGCGCTGCCCATGCCGCTGCTGCTCGGGTTGGTGGCTGTGTCTACAGAAATGAAAAAGGAAGGAGAGTCAGGTTCTGGCAGCTTCCCCGTCCCCATGGGGGCCGCTAAGCTGGTTACAGGGATGAGGGGCCCCGTGGGAAGTGGCTGGGCCTGGGACAGGGTTGGGGCTTCTGGGTCACTGGGTAGCTAGGACAGGGCTGTGCAGACAGGCCTTCTGGCTGGGAAAGACAGTGGTGGGAGAGGGGGTGGGACTGAAAACAGCTCCCTCTCTGCCCCAGGAACCAGGTTGGCGGTGGGGAGCAGTGAGTCCTTACCAAGACAGCGAGCTTAAGACAAATTTCTGAGGTCCCTAACCTCATGCAGGCCTCACGATGGAAAGTCTGATTAGTTCCATTTGGTAGATGAGCCCATTGAGGCCAGGACAAGAAGCCTTTAGTGTCCAGCCTCTGTCCCTGCCTGACCCGTACCCGGACCCCAGTGCGCTGGTCTGTGGAGCAAGTTCCTTCTGAGAGCTAACCTAGATCTTCCCTGCCATAGCAAAGCTCATTTTCTTTCATTCTGCCCACGAAGGGGAAGGGAAGAGAGAAGGCCACCAGCAGCTGCACCAGTCAGGTGAAGGAAGAGAGGAGCCAGTGAGGGATGTGGCAGGATCGACTCCCCTGATAAGTTGGGGAGAAGATTCTCTTCCCCCGCCTAGGGCCATTTGGGGTGGGGTGTAAATAAATTCCAGATGAAAAGCTACTGAGGCAGCCACTGAGCTGGCACACTCATAGGTGTGCCAGGCATGCCTGCCTCTTGGGGCTGGGGTCCTGGTGTCCCCCACTTTGTTCTCCCTTGTAAGGTGCTGCCCCCAGGGCCCTCCCAGCTCCCAGAATCCTCCACTCCCCTCACACCCCAGAAGAATGTGCAGCTGCCCGAGGTGGTACCCAGTGTAAATGTAACCTTAGTGTAAGTGTAAGAGGTGGTGCCCAGTGTAAAGACCTCAGGTTGCTTTCCTGGAGGGGCAGGGGTGCCCTAGGGAACAAGAGAGTCCTCCAGCTCTCCTCCCTACTGCCCAGCGCCCCAGGGAGCATTATGAGGCCTCAACACCAGGAACTAGTCTCCTCCCTCCCATTGGTCACCCCGGCTCTGCATTGCTTGGGTCCTCTTCTCTGAGCCCCAAGTTGGAGTGTAGGTTTGGGTGAGGCAGAGCCTTGAGACATGAACAGACACCACAACACGGAGGTTTCTGTGATTTGTGGGTCCAGAGACTCAAGAATAAATTAGGACGGGGTGGGTGTAAGATGTGCCCAACAGCACAGGGGACTGGAGAAGAGGAAAGGAGCAGATGAGCCAGTCAAAGGCAAGATATGGTGTGTGCTTCCTCGGGGGTATTTCTATTTTAAGCAGTGGCATCTCCAAATGTGGTGCCCAGGCCAGAGGTGTCGGCACCTCCTGGGAATTTGTGAGAAACGAGAATTCCCAGGCTCACCTCAAAGCTACCCAATCCGTCGCTCCAGAGGGGGGCCCAGCAATGCACCTCAACAGGCAGCCTGGGTGACTCTGATGCATGTTCATCAGAGAATCGCTGCTTTTAAAAGGCATCTGGCCAATACAAGGGGGAGAATTGAATCGAAGGCTGGTGGGTCTCCTGGTGGAAATTTTGGTGCCACGCTGGGATAGTCATCTGAACCTGCCTTGAGTCACCTGTGGGACTGGCCTGCCTAGACTTTGTGCAGCAGTGGTTGCCCCTGCAGGGGGCCAGGGTAAGAGATGGGTTTAGAAGGCACCTCTGGCTTCTCTAGGATGGCAGTTCGCCCACTCCACATCACCATTCTCTCAGAAAATCACCTTTCCCTCTAGTGGCATAGGCTGGTGACTAGAGCCAGTAGTGTTTCAGCCCCCTCTTTCCTGTCTTGTGCAGTGCCCAACCTCCTCAACCTTACATGGCAGCCCGCAGCTTCCTGTGGCGTAGAGAATGCCAGCACGAGAGAAGGGCGTTCCCTTTGATTTTACTCTCCCTTTCAAGGGTTCCTTTAAGTGACAAAGAAGGAAAGGTCAGGGTAGGGTGGGGTGGGCAGGGATGAGGGGGGGCTGGGTTTTGCGGGGGACAGAGGGCAGGCCTGGAATCATTTCAAGTCCTTCTGTGCAAACACACGTGTGTGCTATGGACCTACATTATTTACCCAGGCAGTGCCAACAGCCCGCTCTGTCCCCGGTCCCCACCCTGGCCGGTGCCCACGCCCTACCTCCTAGGAGGCCCCACCTCTCGAGAGCCCCTCTCAGTCCCCCACCCCACCCCCACCACCCCTGCCTGCCTCCCGCCCCATCCACGTCCCCAGAACTCCATGCCTGCCACGTTAGGACAGTCTCTGCCAACACCCTGGGCCATATGCCAGGGAGACGGAAGCTTTTCCAAGAAGCAGGAGAACTTGCTTCCCCTGTGGCCCTCCTGTTTGCTTGGCCTGGGTCACAGGTAGGACTAGAGGCAGCTGCTGTGGGGCATGGTGGCATGAGGGGTCAGGGAGGAAGAATGGGCAGAGCAGGTGGCAGCGTTGCCAGTGAGAATGTGATGACACATCCCTGACACGTTTATCAGGTGAGCCTCTGGGCTTCTACCCCCTCGCATCCAACCCCTTCCTGGGAAAGAAGCAGCGTGGGCCTGATTCTTATTCCTATTTTGCGGGCAGGGGTGTTAAGGTGTAGAGAGGTGAGTGACATGGATCCAGGTCTTCGGACTCGTGGCCCAGGGCTCCTGCACCGGCAGAGAATTCCCTCCTTCTCTCCCACACCCCACATTCCAGCTCCCTGTCACCTGCCTCTAAATGCCAAGGAACCTGGTCTTAAGCAAGCCTTGGTCCCAGTTCCAACACTTCCCCGGAGAAAAGTAAGTTAATAATTGACTGGGTAGCAGAGGAAACGTCCAGGCGTGGGGGAATGATGTGACACAAGCAGCCCAGGCCTTGGGGTCCCAAGTCAGGGTGCCAGGGACTGGGGTGCCCAGCCTGCAATTCTGGCATCTTCTCCAGGCTCCGGGGCAGGACTCCAGCAGGACGAGAGAACTACTCCTCTCCAAGCATTCATGCTCGTTACCCTTTTACTGCCCACAGCCAGGATGATGGAGATGTGAGAGCCCACTTTATAGATGTGGACAGTGAGGCTCAGAGCTTGCCCAAGGTCACCGGCTGCCCATGCATAGGCTCATGCTTTGGTGTCTCCAACTTCCCAGGGTCTTACCTCCTAACTGGACCAACTGATCCTCCAGACTATTCCCATCTTCTGGCTGCTCACTCTGCCCACCGTAAAGCTCATTTCCCTCCAACATCCTTTCACCAGGCATCCCTGTGCTCAAGAACCTCCCATGGCTCCCCATTGCCCTGCTGGATCCTAATGGCAGGTGCCCACCCTGAGCCCACCACCTACCCAGCACACATAATCAGTGTTACGTGATTGTTTTATAGACTGGAACAAGAAAACGCAGAGGGGAAGGATTCATTCACTGGTTAGAGGCAGGCTCTGACCCAGAACCAGCATTCAACATGTTAATTACATATCCAGGCTCTAACGAGTACGGTGTTAATCCCCTGGCCCTGTGCTGTGGGTGCAATGTGGCTAATTTCTCTAGTTTTGTCCCTTTGCCCACGATGCCCTTTCTTTCTCATACCAGTTCAGCTTAAACTCTCCACTCCCAGGAAGCCCTCCCCCACAGCTGCCTCTGACTCCGAAGCGCTCTGCATCTCACGCAATTCAGACTTCGTTGTATTCACGAGGGGTCCTCGGCCCCTGAAGACACATATGCATTGGGAAAAATGACTCTCAGAGAGGGTCAGAGACAGGCCTATCTTCACACAGCAGAGCCAGGAGCAGACTAGGGCCCAGCTGACCCTCAGGCTACTCCTCCACAGGCCTAGGGTCCTGGACAAGAGTGGTGTTTGCCAGGCCCAGATGGCAGGCCCAGCCTTCCCTACAGCCTCTGCTGGCTGGGCCCCAGGGCCTGCCGGTCTCCTGAGCAATGCCTCCAGCTTGCAAACCTCGAGCTGATCTTTTCTGGATTAAGCCACGTGTCTGGATTAAAGCTCAGTGTCCTGCCTCCCTCCTGCCCCACAGGCCCTGGCTCCAATTCCAGACAAAGGAAGTTTGGTAACAGCTGGCGGAGGCCAAGCCCCTGATCTGCAGGGTGGCGGCCAGAGGGATTAGCCACCCTGGGTCCCTTTACCCAGCACCTCCCTTCTCCAAGGAGGAAGGTCAAGGAGAGAGAGCAGAGAGACCCAAAGAGCGAGATTTAAAAGGCAGCTGTGTCCTGCCTCTGCCCAGCCTACCTCTTCTCCTGTCCCACCCCGGCATGGCACTAGCAGAAGACCCTCTGACAGCTCCTGAAACCACAGCCTCAGGGAGTGGAATTCCCCAGAGGTCTTCACCAAGGCCCTGAGCTGTCAGGGGGGTTGGAGTCTGCTTTCCACATCTTGTTTAGTTCCGGCTCCCAGGTCTGGGGGCACTGTGACTGGGGTAAATGTAGCCTAGGCCCCAACTCAAACCTGAGACCCAGGCTCAGTCAGCCCTGAACCCAGGGTCCTGGCTGCAGACCCAGCAAGAAGAGCACTAGGAGAGTGGGTGGGGCAGGAGGTGACAGGGGTGACGGGGTCTGCCACTCAGTCCCAAGTCACTCTCTCTATCAAAGGGGGTGGGGGCGGACCTCCTCTGGCTTCCCCATTGCATCCCGCCGACCTGGCTGTTGGTCCTCCCTCCTTCCAAGCAAACCTCTGGGCTGCCTTTAATGCCTTTAACATCCGGGGCCAGTAGGGTGTGACTAGGTCCTGAACCAGGGGCCATGCTGAGTGGGCAGGGATGCATGGGTCTCCCCGGAACCCCTCTGTCAGATGGTCAGCACCTTGGAGAGAAGCTGGGCCTGCCAGGGCCTCAGGCAGTCCTGGGCCAATGCCTATGAGCTGCAGAGGAGCAGCTGCGTCTGGCTTCTCTGAACCCTCCCCTCCCCACTTCTGGCCCCAGCCTCATCCCCAGACATTCCCTTCTTGCTCTGCCACTCCC